AAAATTATAATATGTAAAGTGAGGTTTCACAAAGAATGGATTTTCCTAAAACAGTTTCATTTATTAAAAAGAAAAATAAATTCAATTTAGTATTCCTGAAGTCTTGTTTCTTAAAGCCTTGAATTTTGGTGTTTAAGGCTAAGTAGAAAGTGTTTTCTCCCAGTCATTTGCTTTATTTGTGGTTATAGTGTCCATCACTATAAAAGGAGTTTGAGTTTTCTTTGTGAAACATCACTGTGTGCTAAAGTATATGTGTATTTAGCATCCTTGTTTTTCTTTATGCTAAAGTGGATTCAGCTGTGTTGGGGCGGAAGAGACGGGACCAGCTGCTGGCCACATTTCCTGCTTTATTTTAAAAGGTAGTATAAGAAATGAGAATAAAGAGGTAACAGGGCTTTTGCTGTCTTTGGTTAAAAAGAAAAAAGATTGAATGCTGGGATCATTTACTGTCATCCAAGATGTTTGTTGTTTTAAAGACAATAGCCTATCAAACAGGTTTTACTCCGCTGTATGCACAGTTCCATCTGTTCAGGGTGTATTGCCAGCACAAAAGAGACTTAGTGGGGCTCGTGTTACCTTAACACCTTTGTGGTGGCATGAACGGGACTGTCCAAAGTTTCAGTCTTAAATTGTGTAACCCTGTGTAAAAAATGGGTTATACCAGGGCCACAGGAATCCCAGTGAACCATCGAGGCCTGTACTGCCTGATACACAAAATGGAAATAATTGAGTTAGGTTCAACCTGGGCTCCACCTGCCTAGCTCAGGCTTCATGAACATGCTTAATTTTGAGGTTTAATGTTGAAAAGAGAAACACTAATGTAGCAAGTATGGGATGTTACAATGGCGTTTCTACAGTTACTTCAGTGTAGAAGTGGTTTTTAAGTTAACTTAAATATGCATTCTTTCTTTTTGCATCACTGCTAAATGGTAGAGGTCAGGGATGTAGTTCTGGTCTCTGTTGTGAACCTGCACATCGCTCTAGTCATGAAACTCCCTGTGAGCTGTGTCTGAGCTTAGCTGATTTTCTGACATGCAAAGTGATGTATACCGGTACCAGAACAAGGCCAAGTCCCTAGAAAGTAAGTGGCTGCAGGCATTTCTAGTGCCTACTGAATCATATTTAAACCAAATAGAGGGGAGGAAGTTATTTGAAACTCTAACCGACTGTACTATCTCTATGGTGTATTATTAATGTAGCTTTTTGAAGTGGAAGCCTTGAAATGACATAACTTAATACTTGAAAATATATTGTAAATGTTTCTTTGTAATTATGTGCCATCCAGATAAGAATACGATACCATAATAAAATCAGACTTGTTGATCTTTCAGTTTATGGGCTCAAATGTTTTTTCCTCTTTTTCTTCTCATTAATGCCTTGCTTTAATTGAGTGGTTCATTACACAAAATGGGAAAACAGAAAGGGGAAAATGCTGCTGCTGCTGTCTGTGGGGGTCATCATTTGGAAAATGAGGTAAAGTAGAGCAGGGTATCCAGGAGAAATGTTGTTACTCATCTTTCCAGTTAAGTTTGTGGTGAGGACAAAATGAAGGTATTGCTCCTTGAACCAAAGATAGGGTTGTACTTTTGAGAATCACCACTCCTTGCATTTTACGGTTGTTTTTTAATATTTTATGAATGTGGATATGTTTGATCAATAAACCATGGAGGAGTAGAATATTTACATAAAAGCTTCCATGGTTTATTGGCATCTTCCTCCTTTCTCTCCCATTTTTAGGTTCTGAAGTTTGATGGCTGGTTAGTAATAATGCTGCTAAACCATAAGTCTTTCATCAAATTGTTATTTCCATGCTAAACACTGGAGTGAGTATAACAAAAGCTTTGAGGGTGCTGAAAGGACTGAACATTTTTAGTGCTCCAGAGTGATCCATGCACTGTATTCTTGATTTCTGTTAGTGTTAAACACTTTATTTGTAGAGAGCAGTTTAAAGTGGCGTGTTGGCTTTTGGGCATCCAGACATTCCAGTGAAAGTAGTCTGCAGCTTGATAAAAAGGAACGTTTCACAAAAATGGGTATTTAAAGTTTTAATAGCGTGCTGTCACGCTCTGCCCGTTTGGCCTCCAGTTGTAGAAAACACCCCGTTCAGCACTGACATTTGTGTTTCTTAAACTTCATACCACAGAACCAAGTGCCATCAGTGATAAACTGCATGGCCTTGCTACCTTCATTTTCCAGTATTTCTCCACCTCATGGTCTCTTGAAAACTCTTTAGCAGTTAAATAAGAAACAGTTTCACGCTGGGTCCTCTGTTACTCCTTCACGGTTTGATTCTGGTGCACTGATTTTTGGTAGCTTTCTAAATTAACTTCTTTCCTTCCTCTGAAGAGCATAGCAGCATCTGGGAGGGAAAACCCATTGGTGTTTTAGCACTCTCTAGCTGCTTGGAGAGGTGATACTAAAGTAAATGTTGGGAAACACATTACAACACTTGGCATCCCTTGGTACTTCCAGCTTATCAGATTTCTCATGCTGTTTGTCAAAACTAACCAGTTTTCCCTCAGAAACACAGAGATCTTAAGCAAAACACAGAAGTCTTCTGTAAATTTACTGATTTTTAAAAACATGTTCTCCACAGCTTGTAGTTAAAGAGGTTTTTCTGCTAGAATCAACTAAACTGTTTATAGGGTTGTATTTGCTGTTGGGCTGCAAGTGTCTCTGGGATGTATTTGGTATGGGGGGTTGTTTAAATGGGCTCTGTGTTTAAAGAACACAGTGTATAAAACTGCATGTTGACAGTAGCTGATTCTACAGGTTTTTTTACCCAGTTTAAGTGAGATATGCAGGTTTGGAGAACTAATTCTGCCATTGCTCATTAGCATGAGGATGCCAGGAGCTGGAGTAGGGCAGGTACAGGGGAAGAGGGTGTGGAATAGATTGTGATGTTGAGATTCACCAAAAAATGGTTCATGTAGAAGGTAAAATTAGTGGGTTTTTGATGTTTCTGTGGATTCTTATCTAGTTCAGACTTGGAATGGTCAAAAGTCCGTCAGTACAGGTTATACATTCAACACGTGCTTTCTGCTAAGAATGTGATAAAAGCTGTTGCTGTGGTGTGTGGTCTGTGATGGCCTTGTTTCTACTAAAACCATAGAAGAAAGGTTACAGCTAAAACCTGATCCAACTCAGATTTTCAGTCAGGGAGGCAGCATTTGCAAGGAGCTTGTGCAGTTGGTAGGAGGTAAAGGAGAACCAGTAAAAGCTCAGTCTTTGCCTTCTTGGGAGAAAAACCATGAAATGGAGAGGAGTGTTCCCGGGTTTGTGAGGGTGCTCTTTCCTGTGCATCCATGCTACAGCTGCCTGACAGCATCTTGCTGTCCTGCTGGATTTTGAAACCATTTCAATCTTTAAGTTACTTTTGAGAATATATTTGCCCCAATTTAAGGAGAAATACACAGCAAACAAGTGAAAAATTTCCTTTTTTATAAACAAACCACCTTTGTGGCCTAGTCTGTAGCTGACCTTTGAATGACTGATACTGAACACTTTAAATACATATTTGCAATTGTTGCATTCATCAGTTACACTGGAAACAAGTAATCGGTCTTTGCAACTTACTAAAAAACATTGAGGAATGGGATTTTTTTTTCCTTGTTAGATACTGTCTTCACCTTTCACCCTCATAAATTAATATCTAAAAAATACAATTTGTTCAAGTGAGATCATGAAGTATCAGAGCATGCATTCTGATTATTGATAATTATCATCACTTGAATTGATACTAAAATGAAGATAGTATATGGAATGGAGGCTGGTTTTGAATCTCACACTTCAAAAAGTGCTAGGATCTGTTTATAATATCTTAGCTGTATCTTGTTAAACACAGTAACAACCACTAGGGCACTCATTTTTGTTCTTAAAGATGCTATTGCAAAGTAATCTCTTTATGTAATGTTTTTGTTACCACAGGTAAGTGGCTCTGTTGGTTGAAGTCTGAGGACTTCTGGAGATGCCATAATTCACTGTTTGGTAAAACACTTGCTCCGTGAGCATCTCCAAAGCAGAGGTGATGAAGGTGAAGCCCAGACAGCTCCTTAGCTGCAGGCTGGTATCAGGACACCACACAATACTTTGAATTAAGGAGAATTAAGCTCTATGTACATAATGACTGTTGCAGAGGTGCAAACCAGGCTGCTACTCATGGTTAGAGAGAAATAGAGTGTGGGATTTTCCTGCTGTAACAACAGATTTGTTAGGAAAGAGTAGATAAACATGACCCAACTCTGTCAGTAAATTTTTCAGCACTGCTAGAGCCTAAGTTTTCAACCAAGGCAAACAATTAAGGGTCTCAATACTGAACTCTCATTAATAAGATTCCATGTGCATCTCTGGGGATACTAGAATTTTACTGAAGTGTACCTGATTGCTGACCAGTAACTGTACAAGTTTTACAGCTCAGACCATACCTCAGATTGAGATGATTGCTTCTGTAGAAAAAAATCCTGATTTAGTTGTCAATCTGCAGAATGCACTACAGATCCCTCATTCGTTAGGAAAATTAATAATTTCTATTGCTGTAGAATATACAGTCACCCATGGTGAAGACAAGCCTGACTGACAGGTGAATTACTCTCACCACAGCTCCCTGCTTCAGGAAAAGCCTAACTTCAGGGCAAACCAGTTGCAAGGACAAAGTTTGTTCTGACTCAGCTTTTTTTTTTGGGTCACTTGATAGATATGCTGGGAAGTCTGCCCTGAGTATCGCTCCCCATGGCTGACAGCAGTGGGGTCTACAGTGTACAGAGTGGCTCCTAGAACAGAGAAATTCAGGGACAGAGAACACCAGTCCTTACAGAGCTGTTACTCAGGTGTATACCCTAAGCTGGACATAATAAAAAACTTAACATTTAAGGTCAGAACTGAAAAGAACACCAGTGCTGAGTCTTAACTTTGTTTTCCTGTTAAAGAGCACAGCAAGCAATGACTTCTTTCCTTTTTTATTATGGTTACTTATCCAAGGCAATTGAAAAAGTTGCTTAACTTCATGCTTGCAACTCTTCAGGATCCCTGCCAGTGTTCATCTGCTGCAGTACTTTGATGTATATCCTGTGATGTTTAGTGGCAAGATACAACCCAGTCAGAGCCTGTGCGAGTACCCCCAAACTCAACTTTCTAAAGACAGGCTGAGCAACTGTGAGCCAGAAGCGTAACATATTTTCTTTCCCCGGCAAGGGAGATGAAGAATACCTAAAACAACATAAACAGCAGTAGAAGCTTACTTTTTTTTCCATCCACTTTAAACATCAATATCTTAATATTAAAGTAATTAAAATACTTAGGTAGCTATTCTTTCCTAAGTTAAATTCACTTGGTGGTACCAAGCTCTCTGGATAAATGCTATATAAAGTATCCTGACGTCTCGCCATTGCCTCACTGTGCTCTGACCCAATCCACAGCATTCCAGCTGCTGGGCACTGCCCAGGGTCGGCGACATCGCTCAGCCATCCAGCCAAACTGCACTACGCAGAGATCTTCATCGCTTGGCAGGATGGCAGCCACCATTTCGTAGAATCACAGCATGGTCTGGGTTGGAAGAAACCTTAAAGCCCCCCCCCAGTCCAACCCCTGCTATGGGCAGGGAGACCTCCACCAGCCCAGGCTGCTCCAAGCCTCGTCCAACCTGGCCTCAGGCACTGCCAGGGAGAGAGCACTCACAACTTCCCTGGGCAACCTGGGCCAGGGCCTCACCACACTCAGTAAATAACTTCTTCCTAATATCCAGTCTATATCTCCCCTCTTACAGTTCCCCTTGTTCCCATTACCCCTTGTTCCGTCACTACCTGCCCTTGTAAAAAGTCCCTCCCCAGCTTTCCTGTAGCCCCTTCAGGAACTGGATGGGCGCAATAAGGGCTCCCCGGAGCCTCTTCTTCTCCAGGCTGAACAGCCCCAACTCTCTCAGCCTGACCCCATAGGAGAGGTGTTCCAGCCCCTCTGATCTTTTTTGTGGCCTCCTCTGGACTCATTCTAACACATCTATTTCACATCCCCAGGCACATCATGGGTAGGTTTTGATGTTCCTGCTATGCAAGAGTGCTCTACAATGGATCAGTGTGCAGATCTTGTTTCACTTTGGAGGCCTGGTATAGCTCTTAGCAACTTTCCCTTGTAATTAGAGAACCTTAAGCAAATCTCCTTCTGTGCACTAAAAGCCTACAAAAAGACAGATGTGCATAGCCTAAAAATCCACAGAATTTAAACATTTAAACATTTAAACCATTTCACTCATTGCAGGTCAATAAGACTTACCTGGCTGCCAGGCTTGCATTCATGGGGAGAGCCAGGAGGATGGGATAGAGCCCCCCAACAGCAGCCCCTATCAGCCCTCCTCTGACCACGGCACAGACCTCGCAGTTCAGGTCACCTGCGGGGCACACAATGTTTCACTGTCAACATTCACATCCTTCCAACACATCCTTTTTTGAAGCTGCGTGCAACAATGTGGAAACAAGCGTGTGGCAGAAACAGGCACTCTGTACAGGCATGCAAGATATTTTGAAGGAAGTACTCTTCCTTTTGCAACAACAACAAAAATCACTTATTTTTCACTCTAAAGTTGACCTTCAAATGAAATCATAAAGACAGGGGAAACTAAACTGCTTTGTTGCAGTCACTTCTACACGATTCAGTGAAAAATGCTAAAAAATCAGTGATGTGCAACGGAAATTTTCCTATAAACCTACAGAAACACACATATGTAACTCCCACTCAAATTCAAGAACCCACTGCTGCACGATGCATTAGAGAATCTGTTTTTCAAACTCTGCTTTACAAACTGAGGTTTTTCAAGACCACAACAGCCCAAGACCAGCATTCTGCAGAGAGGAAAAGCTCCTCCAGCGTAACATTGCATACAGAAAGCAAAACCCTTTCAAAAACAAGGAATTACAAGGCTTTTACCTGAAAACAAGGGCTCATGCACAAAAGCTTCATAAGCCGCTGCTGTTGAAAGAAACGGGATAACGGCCATTGGCAAAGCAGACACCAGGGAAGCCTTTCTGACGTGGAGGATGTTCCTGAAGAAGTTATTTGCTGCTAAACCGCATAAGCTTGAATTTGCTGCGATGAAGTACACTCCATGATTACAAAGGTTCCTGTGAAAGAAGGAAAGTTGCTTCAGGAACTGAGAACTGTTAAAAATGTTTGGTTTACTCAAGTGTTACAATTCACTTGTGATTATCCTACAATGAGAGGTAAGAGATACAAATCTTTCGCTGGCGAAAAACAGAGAGTAACTACTTTTGAAAGCAACCAGCACAGCATCCTTTGCTATGTGCCTGAGTTTACACACACCTCAAGAGTGAAGGGACAGAGACTGAGAAGACTTTGGGACAATTTTTTTTATTATGGCTAATGGAAGTTTAATGAAATTTTTTCTCCTAGTAAGTATGTTCCTAAGGAGAATGTTATCTCAAAATAAATTTTTATATACATATATATAAATATAAA